ATAAATTTTTCCAATTTCTAGATGGAAAGATTTTTTGTGTTTTTTAAATTTCATTTTTAATTGCTAGTTTTAGTGCACTTTGATAAGTGTAATAATTCTACTCTATGAAATTTGCTTTCTTGGTAACCTAATATATGATCAATTTTCCTATTTTATGTGTGCTTGAGAAAAATGTGTATTTTCTAGTTTCTATTCTCATAGTATTGGATGTGTATGCATAAGATCTACCTTATTGATTATGTTGCTTAGCTCTTCTGTATTCCTTTTTTGTCCTTGGACCTGTGTGTTAAAGTCTCTTATTACTAGTGTGTCTATTTCTCTTTATATCATCTATAGGTAGTTACTGTGTTGCCTTATGCATAATCATAACTTTATGTCTTGATTATAAATTGTGACTTTGAGCTTCGTAAAGTGTTCCCCTTGTCAGATTTAATTCATTTGTTGTCTAAGTTCTAGTTTGTCTGATAATCTGGATTTCAATTCATTTTCTTATTGTTTCCATTTGACTGGTATTTGTCCTTCTCATTACTTTTAGCCTGTTCAAATTATGATGTTTTAAGTATTTTTATTGAATTAGTGTGGAACTGAGTTTTGCTTTATGAGCGGATTTGAAATATTTTTCTTTAAATAGGCAGTTTAAACCCATTTGCATTGATTGCTCTGACTGATACATTTGTTTTCAAGTCTGTCATATTTTTATCAATAATAGCTGATTCAGTTATATTTACTGTATTTCTTTTTCTATGTGGAATCTTTGCTTTTTATTTTAATTTCTTTTAGTATATAGGAAAGTTTGTATTTTTGTTGCACTGGTTACTTTTACAAACTAGAAAAAGAAGAGCAAATTAAACCCACAGTAGAAAGACGAAAATAATAAAAATTAGAATAAAAACCAAGAGCTCTTTAAAAAAAAATGGTGAACCTGCATCTCCATACTGATCAAGAAAAGAAGGAAAGAAGATACAAGTTACCAGTAACAGGAATGAAAGAGAAGATATCACTACAAATCCTTTATACATAAGAAGGATGATAAGGAAATATTATGAACAACATTTTACCTATAAATTCACTGAGATGAAATAGGCAAATTCTCTGAAGAAAATACGAATTACAAAAACTAACTTAAGAAGAAACAGAAAAACAGAATAACCCTATATCTATGAAATAAATTGAGTTAATAATTTAAAAACCTTCTCACAAAGAAAATGCCAGTCCCAGATGGTGAATTTATCAAACATGTAAAGAAGAAATAACACTAATCCTATGCAAAGTCTTTCAGAAAAGGAGAATGAAGTTACCAACTCATTTTATAAGGCCAGAATTGCCCTGATTGAAACCACAGACACTAAAAGAAAACTACAGATCAGTATCTCTCATGATCTTAGATACAAAAATTCTTAACAAACTATTAGTAAATTAGTTCCAGTAAAGTATAAAAGGGGAAATTCTATGACTTAAATGGGGTTTATATTATTAATTAATGTTGATAGAATCATTATTTTATAGTCACATTTAATTTTTCATTGAAAATAATCTAACTTCTTTAGATGCCTTCATAACAGACTTGTCTCTTCATTTCTTCCCACTGTTTTCAAATACAAATCCACTTTCCAAAAATAAAGATTTGCCATCATTGAGGAGCTCCAAAACAATATGCTAAAGGCTTTGGACCCCACATTAAGAATTCTCTGCTTCAGAACGTTTTTGGGTTATGGTAATGTTCTGTATCTTGATTGTGGTCTTGTTTACATGAGTATATAATTTATCAGAACTCATCGAGCTGTACACTTAAAGTTTTTTATTTTTTAATGTCCTGCTCTAAGTTGTGTTTTAGACCTAAGGTATTCACAAATATCTGAAGAATATTCTTGACGGTAGAGAAAGTTCTGAAATCCCTTTTAGTTCTAATCCTGCCTCTGAAGTGAACCTGATACATACCATATTGAAATTCCAGTGAGGAAATCTTACCCTTGTTTATTGGACTAGCATGGCTCCATGTAGGTGCAAAAACAGTCATTTGGAGCTTAACATTTGTGACTCATTTAAATTATTTTTGAACTTAATCAAATCTGTATTTAATTTTCTCCTACTTCATTAGACCTAGCTTAATTCATACAGTGTTACTCTGCTCATAATACATTTTTAAATTGTCTTTGAACTCAACAACTAAGTTCACCGTATGTTTGTTAGAACAATTCCAGATGACTTTGCTTATTCATTCATGCTTGTTTTCAGCTTTATTCATTCTTCAAATAGCATCTACATTCATCTGAAGAAACTAAAAGTAAGCTGATTACCATAATAGTGTGGGGCTTACAGTTCAGATCTCCTCTAAACTCTTACTTAAGAGTAGATACTGTGAAGCATTATTTTCTTAACTTGGTTATTTGATTCAAGGATAGACTTTAGTGCTAGATCATTAATATCCTTTTACTGGTTGTGGGAAAAAGAGAGGTGACATTTTAGTCAGGCATGTCTATCAAAAGTATTATTTTTACTCTCTGCTCTTAGTGCCAAATATTTTCTCACATAAATTTTCAAATCTTCCTGTCATCTTGCGTTTCCATTAAATGAGTTAACACCGGCCGGGCGCGGTGGCTCACGCCTGTAATCCCAGCACTTTGGGAGGCTGAGACAGGCGGATCACGAGGTCAGGTGATCCAGACCATCCTGGCTAACACGGTGAAACCCCGTCTCTACTAAAAATTACAAAAAAACTAGCCAGGCGTGGTGGTGGACGCCTGTAGTCCCAGCTACTCGGGAGGCTGAGGCAGGAGAACAGCGTGAACCCGGGAGGCGGAGCTTGCAGTGAGCCGAGATGGCGCCACTGCACTCCAGCCTGGGAGACAGAGGGAGACTCCCTCTCAAAAAAAAAAAAAAAAAAAATGAGTTAACACCTTAGTAGATTATTCATAAACTTCAAACTTGGTGATCATTGATATTTTTATAACATTTGGTTTATACTCTGATGAAATATAAAAAGAAATGTTTAGGCACTTCACAAAGATATACAATACCATACTTAAGTGAAGAAATCAGAGAGAAAAGGAAGAGGAAAGCAAGATGCAGCCATGACTAAAGTTTTGCATGCTGTGAAGACCAACACACACTTACTAGAGCTAGGCCCCAAATTTAGCCCTGGAGTTTGTAGTCCCTCAACACAAAGTTAACAGATAAAATACAGGGCACCCAATTAAATTTAAATTCCAGATAAACAAGTAATTTATAGTATAAGTATGTCTTGTATTTTTGTTTGCCAAACTAAGCAGCCCTACCACAGATAAAAAAATGCAACTATTCTAATTACTAAATTACGTAAGCAACCTCAGCTGAAATTTAAAGGTTAACTATTTAATTTCCTGAACCTCAGAAAGTCACTCAGATCATTTGAAGACTTAGGCCATAAAAATTGAAGTGCTTGTTATTATTTCTGCTATAAATATAACGGGCCTTACGGCCCTTTATTGTTTTATTTTAAGATTTGCATTTTTTTTCCTAATGCACTCGAGATTTTTTTTTTTTTTTTTTTTTTTTTTTTTTTTTTTTTTTTTTTTTTTGGTGATAGGGCCTCGCCTGTCTCTCAGGCCGGAGTGCTGTGATGCTGGTACAACTACGGCTTACTGCAGCCTCGACCTCCTGGGCCCAAGTGATCCATTCACTTCAGCCCCTGGGATAGAAGGGACTACAGGCATGCACCACCATGTCCGGCTAATTTTTCTTTTTTTTTTGAAACGGAGCCTCACTCTGTCACCCAGGCTAGAGTGAAATGGCGCAATCTTGGCTTACTGCAACCTCCCTCTCCCGCGTTCAAGTGATTCTCCTGCCTCAAGGTTTCACCATGTTGGCCAGGCTGGTCTCAAACTCCTGACCTCAAGTGATTCACCCGCCTCAGCCTCCCAAAGTGCTGGGGTTATAGGCATGAGCCACCACACCGAGCCTTAGCTAATTTTTTTATTTTTTATTTTTGTAGAAATGAGGTCTCACTATGTTGCCCAGGCTGGTCTCGAATTCCTGAACTCAAATATTTTCTCCTGGCTCAGCCTCCCAAATTGTTTGGATTGCAGGCATGAGCCACCACACTTGGCTAAGCAAAACATTCTTAATAAAATATTTGAAGTATTTTTGTGGCCTATTGCATATTCTGCTAAATATTCTGACTTTTTGATAGTGTGAATATAACCCTGTCCCAAGAGAATCCATCAATGTCATTAGAGGTACTGCCTGCACTAATAGACATCACATGTAGTATAGTCTCCTGAGTAATAATATAACAAACCACGTGAAGGGTATGAAGGGTAGCAGTGACTGTTTCTTTCCTCTGCGTTGCACCCTGTCCCTTTTACTCTACGTCCTGATGAATGGAATTACAAGGCCTTGGAATAGGTGGCTGGCCTTCTCAACAAGGTAATATCTTGTTGCCGTTTTGTCTCCATTCTGACAGTTGCCTAGCCTTAGGTAAAGACAAATTATTGGTGTTTGTAGATTCTCACTAGCATATATATTAGAGAGTTTGGTCCTCAGAGTTTTTTCACTGGTCTAATACTCTCCTCATTATATTCATTCTTGTTTACAGAACTGCTAACATTCTTATTCTTTTTTTAAACTGACCCCTTGGTTTTTCTGCCCTAGTCACTGCCTATTCAGCAACTAATCTTCTTTTGAAAGCTTTTCCTGACTTTTTATATGCCTCATATATCTGGAGTTATAGTTTGGTATAGTTAATTTTGCTTATTTTGAATATAAATTTTTATTTTGATCATTTATTTTTTAAGTCATTTTTCCTAATTTGCTTGAATCACAAATGATTATTTTTACTAAACTTTAATGGTGTCTTCTGTACCTTCCTTTGTTCTCTTTATAAGTTTTTCTTTTCCTCTGGTATCGTTTTAAACTTCAGTGCATTGTGGAATACAGCTTTGTCCCATAACCCTGAAGAAAAACATTGAGACAATAAATGTGATCACAGGATTTTTTTTTTCTTCTTACCTAACTTTGAACAGGTAATGGAGAGTGAAGAGTTCATGTTGCTTCCAGCCAATCAACTCATTGATATAATATCCAGTGATGAACTAAACGTTCGCAGTGAAGAACAAGTGTTCAATGCAGTGATGGCCTGGGTCAAATACAGTATTCAGGAAAGACGTCCTCAGTTACCCCAGGTAATGATAAAAATGCTTCTCTAAGAAACTACTGGCCAGGCACGGTGACTTATGCCTGTAATTCCATCACTTTGGGAGGCCGAGGCGGGTGAATCACAAGGTCAAGAGCTCAAGACCATCCTGGCCAACATGGTGAAACCCCGTCTCTACTAAAAATACAAAAATTAGCTGGGCGTGGTGGTGGGCGCCTGTAGTCCCAGCTACTTGGGAGGCTGAGGCAGGAGAATCGCTTGAACCCAGGAGGCGGAGGTTGCAGTGAGCCGAGATCGCACCACTGCACTCCAGCCTGGGCGACAGAGCAAGACTCTGTCTCAAAAAAAAAAAAAAAAAAAAAGAAACTACTTAGTACTAGATGAGATAATATGTATTGTCATGCAAACATAAAACAGTTATCACTCTACATTTGTCAGTAAGAAAGTCCATCTGTTTCCAAATAATCAAGGAAATAAGTATTTAGAAGCATTTTGATTGCTTATTAATGTGGGCTTTTTGTTCCTTTGCTTTCTCCATATTTCTACTTTTCAATGATAGCACAATTCAAAACTTAAATTGTATAAAATGAACAAAAGAAAGCAAGGATGCTTCTTTTCTATAGCTTGAAAATCCTACCACAGTTTTCCTTCAATATAACTTGGAAATAGTACCACACTTTCAAGAGTAAAGAGATGATGCATCAGTCGTCACTGAGCAATCAGTAGTTCACTTTAGACCCATTCTCGTTATTGTGATTATAGTCTTTAGCTATTCAACAAGATATTCTTCTGGATTGTGAATTAATTTGAGTCCAGCTTATAATGTATTGCTGAACATTTTTAGTAGTTACGCCTTCCTGCCTTCCTTATTTATGGTATTCAGTGAGATCCCAAAACAATTGGAAGCACAGTAGGGTGCCATGGGTCATGTATTCTCTTAAATATCTTATAGATGAGAGCTCATGCCTTTAGTAGTGTTTATTGGTTGGGTGCAGTGGTGCAAGCCCATAATCCCAGCACTTGGGAGGATAAGGCAGGCAGATTGCTTAAGCTCAGGTGTTTGAGACCAGCCTGGGCGGCATGGTGATTCCCCGTTTCTACAAAAAAAAAAAATACAAAAATTCACTGGGCATGGTGGCATGTACCTGTAGTTGCAGCTACTCTGGAGGCTGAGGTAGACAGATCACTTGAGCCCAGGAGGTTGAGGCTGCAGTGACCCATGATCACACCACTACACTCCAGCCTGGGCAACAAAGTAAGACCTATCTCAAAATTAATTAATTAAAATAATGGTGTTTATTTTCTCATAGGTGCTGCAGCATGTTCGTTTGCCTTTGCTTAGTCCCAAGTTCCTCGTGGGCACAGTAGGCTCTGATCCCCTCATCAAAAGTGATGAAGAATGCAGGTATGAGTGACCCTGGATGGGAAAAATCAACAACTAAGCATTCCTATTTCTTCCTAATTTCTTTATTTATATTGCTTCCTAAATGTTGTATTTTGTAGAGCTGAAATCAGGGCATTAATTTAACAAGACTTTCTTCTGAGCTAGGGTCAAGAGGAGGAAAAGGAAGAAGAGAGAACTAAACTTCCAGTGTTCCATTCCGTTAGTTTTTTATATGTGGTGCTTATTGGTGTAGAAGTGGCAATAAAGAGGTAGATTTCCAAGATTCTGATGCAGGCTTGAATTTGAAGAGTCAATTCTCTGCTAATATTTTTTTTTTCCTTGAGATAATTGAAAATGTTGACTCTGTCAGTGAACATTTTTTCCTTCCATCACATATGTCTGGTTGGGGAATAGAATCAGCCTTGCTTTCTAAATTGTGGACAGAGTTAAAGATCTGCCACCTTCTAAAATAGCTGTAGAAAGATTTTCACTAGAACTAGGTGAAGCAGTTTCCAGAATTTTTTTGACAAAAGAAACTCCAACTACTTTTACAAAGGGGGGGAAAAAAAGGCAACCTGTTTTACTAGGCTGTCTCTAAAGTATATACAAGATGTAATAAATTACATTCCCAATTTGACAGATTTTAAGATTTAGGTTCAAATCTGAAATCTGCGATTTTTAACCATTTTTCCCAGCATGTCCCAAATATAAAAGTGAAAGAGAAAATCCATACTCAGAACTTTTTAAACTACACTGACCTTTGGACCTCCCTTGGTGATTAAAGACATTTAGAATGATCCCTGATTTTAGAATGGTGGTAGGACATGTAGATTCACTTGCATTTCTTCTATAAACTAAAGCCTGTTCTTTTAACAGGAGAGGCTGGAGGGGATTTTAGATGTTTCTATTTTATTTTATTATATCTTTTTTATATTAATCATTGTTTTTCCCTTTACCGTGGACTAGAGTTAAACTAGATATTTGTCTTTTATATTTAAAACACAGACAAATGGTAATTAATTCTCCCTAAATATTTGCAGTAGCAAAAAGGAAAACCATATACATTATACATGCTGAAATCTGAAGAAATAATACATAGATGCCCTCCTCCTTTAAACATAAATCAGATTGTACTGATTCTGATGCAGAAAGTAAAGGTACTTATGAAGTCACATTTAAAAGAAGACCCTTCCTGATATCCTAACTTCTTTGTGCTGCAGTTTCTTCCTCTATAAAGTGAGGATGATAATAGTGCCTATTCCATAAGGCTGTTTTGAAGATTAAATGAGTTTATATATATTAAGCACTTAAAACCATGACTAGCGTATAGCTGTAAGTCTTGTTGCTACCATTAATTTTGTGTTGGTTTGCTCAATATTATAACTCTATAGTATTATTTCTAGGAACCCTCAAATGACCTAACAAACTATTAGGAGGTCAAAGTCTTTTTTTTTTTTTTTTGAGACGGAGTCTCACTCCGTTGCCAGGCTGGAGTGCAGTGGCACAATCTCAGCTCACTGCAACCTCCGCCTCCCAAGATCAAGCTAATTCTCCTGCCTCAGCCTCCCAAGTAGCTGGGACTACAGGTGTGCGCTACCATGCCTGGCTACTTTTTGTATTTTACTTTTTGTATTTTAGACAGGGTTTCACCATATTGGCCAGGATGGTCTTGATCTCTTGACCTCGTGATCCACCCGCCCCTCAGCTTCCGAAAGTGTTGGGATTACAGGCGTGAGCCATGGCAAAGTAATTACAAGTGTAATTACTAGATTCCTCTCTTAAAGTATCTTAACAAGACAGGAAATTTGTCTCAGTAGACTTGTTGAGAGTAAACCATTCATATGTTACCAGATAGTGAATTTGTGACAGTACAGTGTTTCTTTTTAGCAATCTGATTTTTGACCCCATTTTATTACTTTAACTAATTTAGCAAATAACTCTTGCCCTGGCTGATGTGCTACCTTGCTAATATCTTGCAGAATCTAATAAAATTTATTAAAAAGTAGTAACTCTGCAGTGTGGTAATCAAATTGTGATTTTTACTTTTCTATAAGTTATCATTGGCTGTAAGCATGTTGAGCTTTAGGCTAAATTTGCAGTGAGATATGAGTCATGATGGAAATAACAATCAATTCACAACTCAGTTTGACTGGCATTATTGCTTTCATGTTTGTGGCAGTTTTAATATTGGCTGGCATTCATGATTTGGTTTGATTTATGCTTGCTTCCCTTTGCCAACCTATATATTCCTAAACTACATTGGGACTTAACTAACAATGTAATTTAGATATCTGGAATAAAGGGAGAATTTTTTCTACAGAGACTTGGTAGATGAGGCTAAAAACTACCTCCTGTTGCCGCAAGAACGACCACTAATGCAAGGACCAAGGACAAGACCACGGAAACCTATCCGATGTGGGGAAGTACTCTTTGCAGGTTTGGATGTTATACTGTTAGTAAATTGAGTATTTTCCCATGTGAGAAATTATCATTTGAATAGTCCTTTGGACAATTGTGATATTTACTGTCATAAGAAACAAATAATAAGTCAGCATGTAGCTTGACTCTTAACCCATGATTCAACACTCATATACTCCAAAAGAGTGCTCTATTTTTTTTCTCATTCAACACCTTTAATATCTATTTTTATATAAATTGAAAAATGTTGGCTGGGCACAGTGGCTCATGCCTATAATCCCAGCATTTTGGGAGGCCAGGCGTTTGAGACCAGCCTGGGCAATATAGGGAGGCCCCATCTTTACAAAAAAATAAGAAAAACAATTAGCTGAATGTGGTAGTACATGCCTGTAGTCCCAGCTACTTGGGAGGCTGAGACAGGAGGATGGCTTGAGCCTAGGAGGTCAAGGCTGCAGTGAGCTGTGATTGTACCACTGTACTCCAGCCTTGGGAACAGAACAAGATCCTGTCTCAAAAAATAAAAAATAAAAATGTCATGCAGTAGATGTTTTGTTGAAATGAGTCACATGCATTAATTTATATATCAATGTGCAGCTCATCTCATAATTACATGGAATTGTGAAAAACATATTAAACAATTATAATTTATTTCTCCTTTCTATGCATATCCATCTATAATTTCTCCATTCTATCCATATATACATATTATGTTGTAATCCTATTTGAATTGGTATCATTGCCCTCCTTTGTAAAATAGATGTAATACTAACTTATTTACAGAATTAATTAAAGATTATAACAATCCCAGGGGAATGAGTTAAAGTCATAACTTGCATTTTGGCTTACTGCTAGAGACATTTGGTGAGTCTAAGCATTAGGTCACAGTGAAGTTCATAGTGAGTGTTACATTCTATGCTTCAGGATAGGATTCTCTTGACCATTTCTGTTACTTCCCCAGTTGGTGGTTGGTGCAGTGGAGATGCCATTTCCAGTGTTGAACGATATGATCCACAGACCAATGAATGGAGAATGGTGGCTTCAATGAGCAAAAGGAGATGCGGAGTTGGGGTCAGTGTTCTTGATGATCTGTTATATGCAGTAGGAGGCCATGATGGATCCTCTTATCTCAACAGTGTTGAAAGGTGAGTAAGTTCAATCTGTAATTTTCTCTCTACTATTCATATAGTTTTATTTGAGATTTTAATTAGGAATCAAATGTGACTTAATGCTTTAGTATTGCATCTGTGGCACTAGTTGGCAACCTAAACAAGTTAGTATGATACACAAATTCTTTATGATTTGGTCTCCACCTATTTCTCTAGTCTGTCTCCCATGACATACTACCCCTCCCTAAGCATGCTACTGCAGACACATCAAATTGCCTGCAGTTCCTTGGACATGCTGTCTTCCTTCATACGTCTCTCCTTACATATGCATGCTGTTCTTTTTTCCCTGGGATACTTCTGCCATTTTAAGACTTACATTTCCTTTGGCTGGGCGCGGTGGCTCACGCTTGTAATCCCAGCTACTCAGGAGGTTGAGGCAGGAGAATGGCCAGAACCCGGGAGGCAGAGCTTGCAGTGAGCTGTGATCGCGCCACTGCATGCCAGCCTGGGCAAAAGAGCGAGACTCCTTCTCAAAAAAAAAAAAAAAAAACACTTAACATTTCCTTCAAGACACAAATGTTACTTATTACATACAACTTTCTGTGATACCATATAGATGAGTTAGTTACTACTTACTTGTTCCTTTGCCTTCCATAAGTATTTGAACATGTTTGTACATATCCATCACATTGTACTGTACGTGTTGAAATGTATTTCACTATAATATCTATCGTAGTTACTGGGCACATTGGGAATCTATAGTAACTGATGTTTCCATAGCTTTTTGCTCTCAAGAAGTTGTGTTGATTAACAGTGACTCTTAATTTCCATAACACATCTATGAAACGCTACAGTTTTAAGGGTATAGATTGTGCAGCTGGGGAAAAAAATCTTAAAAAGTAGAGGGATCTGTCCCATAGAAGTAAAAAACTGCAACATGGAGAAACCTCATCTCTACAAAAAGTACAAAAAAATTACCAGTTGTAGTGGTGCACGCCTGTAGTCCCAGCCACTCAGGAGACTGAGGCATGGGGCCCGCTTGAGCTTGGGAAGTAAAGGTTGCCATGAGATGATATTGCGCCATTGCACTCTAGTCTGGGTGACAAAGCAAGACTCTCTCAAAAATAAAATAAAATAAAACAACACACACACTTAAAAATAAATTGATGACATCACAGAAGGGAAAAATAAATTGATGGCATCGCAGAAGGGATCATGGCGGACGGGAGGCAGGACTAGATTGAAGCTCCGGCTTGACTGTAAATTTTAGCTCCAGATTGACTGCAAGAAAAAATCAGCAATATCAAGAGGACCCACAGACCCTCTGAAGAAAGCAGACTGCTCCTTCAGGACCCGGGAGAAACCCCACATACTGTGAGTGCCCCAACTGCAGAAGTGGGAAAGGGAGACCCTCCTCTTCCAAACACACACCCCCACTGGAGAAGCTGAAGGTCTGTTCACAGGAGAAATTTCCAACTTTACCTGGAGCTGAGTCAAGTTAGAGAGCCAAGCGAAATACAGGGGTAGAGGAAGCAGCAGAAAGGCCCTGGGAGTTCGCTGGGTCCAAATGGTGGCCAAGCAGGCCTAGCACCACTGGGATCCATCGGGAGGGTGGCCAGAGGAGCAGGGGATAAAACTCCCCAGGGAGAAGGAATTCTCTAGCTGACCTTTGTAACAATTTGAACAGGGGGAGAAGCCTCCTGGCCAGAACGCAAGGGAGGGTGCAAATCCTGCGTGCAGACTTCACTGGCAGGGAGAGAACTAAAACCCTTTTCTCTTGCAGCTGGGAGGTGGATAGCCTCGGGCAAGTTTTCAAGCCTGTCGCCCGTGGCCTGGAAACAGACTCAGAGTTGTGAGGCAGGTACGGTGGGAGTGAGACCGGCCCTTCAGTTTGTGTGGGAGCTGAGTGAGGCCTGTGACTACCGGCTTTCCCCCACTTTCCTGACAACCTGCATGACTCAGCAGAGGCAGTCATAATCTTCCTAGCTACACAACTCAAGTGACCTGGGAATCTCTTCCCCCATCCCCAACAGCAGTCGCAGCAAGACCTGCCCAAAAAGAGTCTGAGCTCAGACATGCCTAATCCCGCCCCCACCTGATGGTCCTTCCCTGTCCACCCTGGTAGTGGAAGACAAAGGGCATATAATCTTGGGAGTTCTAGGACCCCACCTACCACCAGTTCCTCTCCATATTACTACAGCTGATGCTTTCTGGAAAGCACCACCTCCTGGCAGGAGGCCAACCAACACAAAAATAAAGCATTAAACCACAAAAACTAAGGACCCTCACAGAGTCCACTGCACCCTCCACCAGAACAGGCACTGGTATCCACAGCTGAGAGACCCATAGATGGTTCACACCACAGGACTCTGCAGACATCCCCTACTACCAGCCCAGAGCCAAGTAGACTCACTGGGTGGCTAGACCCAGAAGAGAGACAACAATCACTGCAATTTGGGTCACAGGAAGCCACATCCATAGGAAAAGAGGGAGAATACTATATCAGGGGAACACTTCGTGGAACAGAAGAATCTGAACAACAGCCTTCATCCCTAGACCTTCCCTCTGACAGAGGCTACCCAAATGAGAAGGCACCAGAAAACCAACCCTGGTAACATGACAAAACAAGGCTCTTCAACACCCCCCAAAAAAATCATACTAATTCACCAGCAATGGATCCAAATCAAGAAGATTCCCTGATTTACCTGAAAAAGAATTCAGGAGGTCAGTTATTAAGCTAATCAGGGAGGGACCAGAGAAAGGTGAAGCCCAATGCAAGGAAATCCAAAAATGATACAAGAAGTGAAGGGAGAAACACTCAAGGAAATAGATAGCTTAATGAGAAAACAAAAATTCAGGAAACTTGGGACACACTTTTAGAAATGCAAAATGCTCTAGAAAGTCTCAGTAATAGTATTGAACAAGTAGAAGAAAGAAATTCAGAGCTCAAAGACAGGGTCTTTGAATTAACCCAATCCTACAAAGACAAAGAAAAAAGAATAAGAAAATATGAACAAGCCTCCAAAAAGTCTGGAATTATGTTAAACAACCAAAATAAGAATAACCAGTATACCCAAGGAAGAAGAGAATTCTAAAAGCCTGGAAAACATACTCGGGGGAGTAATCAAGGAAAATTTCCCCAGCCTTGTGAGAGACCTAAACATCCAAATATAGGAAGCACAAAGAACACCTGTGAAATTCATCACAAAAAGATCTTTCCTTAGTCACGTCATCAGGTTATCCAAACTCAAGATGAAGGAAAGAATCAAGAGCTGTGAGACAGAAACACTAGGTAACTTATGAAGGAAAACCTATCATTAACAGCAGATTTCTCAGTGGAAACCCTGCAAGCTAGAAGGGATTGGGGACCTATCTTCATCCTCCTCAAACAAAACAATTATCAGCCAAGAATTTTGTATCCAGTAAAACTAAGCCTTATATATGAAGGAAAGATAAGCCGTTTTCAGACAAACAAGTGCTGAGATAATTTGTCGTTACCAAATCACCACTACAAGAACTTCTAAAAGGAGCTCTAAATCTTGAAACAAATCCTAGAAACACATCAAAACAGAACCTCTTTAAAACGTAAATCACAAAGAACCTATAATGCAAAAATACAAGTTAAAAAGCAAAAACAAAAAACAAAACCAAAGTACACAGGCAACAAAGAGCACAATGAAAGTAACGATACCTCACATTTAAATCCTAACATTGAATGTAAATGACCTAAATGCTCCACTTAAAAGGTACAGAACCGCAGAATGGATAAGAACTCACCAACCAACTATCTGCTGCCTTCAGGAGACTCACCTGACACCTAAGAACACACATAAACTTAAAGCAGTGGAAAAAGGCATTTCATTCAAATAGACACCAAAAGCGAGCAGGGGTAGCTGTTCTCATATCAGACAAAACAAACTTTAAAGCAACAGTGGTTAAAAGAGACAAAGAGGGACAGTATATAATGGTAAAAGGCCTTGTCCAACAGGAAAATACCATAGTCCTAAACATATATGCACCTAATGAGCTCCTAAACTTATAAAACAATTACTAATAGACCCGAGAAATGAGATAGACAGCAACACAACAATAGTGGGAGACTTCAGTACTCCACTGACAGCACTAAACAGGTCAAGACAGAAATTCAACAAAGAAACAATGAATTTAAACTATACTTTGGAAAAAATGGATTTAACAGATATATACAGAACATTTCATCCAAAAACCACAGGATACACATTCTATTCAACAGCTCATGGAACTTTCTCCAAGACAGACCATAAGATAGGCCATAAAATGAGCCTCAATAAACTTAAGAAAATTGAAATTATATCAAGCACTCAGACCACAGTGGAATAAAACTGGAAGTCAACTCCAAAAGGAACCTTCAAAACCATGCAAAAACATGGAAATTAAATAACCTGCTCCTGAATGAACATTGGGTCAAAAATGAAATCAAGATGGAAATTTAAAAATTCTTCGAACTTAATGACAATAATGACACAACCTATCAAAACCTCTGGGAGACACAACAAAGGCGGTGCTAAGAGGAAAGTTCATAGCCCTAAATGCCTACATCATCAAGAAGTCTGAAAGAGCAAAGACAATCTAAGGTCACACCTCAAGGAACTAGGGAAACAAGAACAAACCAAACCCAAAGGAAATAACCGAGATAAGAGCAGAACTACATGAAATTAAAACAAACAAAAAAAATACAAAAGATAAATGAAGCAAAAAGCTAGTTATTTGAAAAGATAAATAAAATTGATAGACCATTGGCAAGATTAACCAAGAAAAGAAGAGAAAATCCAAATAACCTCACTAGAAAACGAAACAGGAGCTATTACAACTGACACTGAAATACACCAAAGATCATTCAAGGCTACTATAAACAAGTTTACACATATAAACTAGAAAACCTAGAAGAGATGAATAAATTCCTGGAAAAATGCAACCCTCCTATCTTAGGAAGAATTAGATACCCTGAACACACCAATAACAAGCAGCAAGATTGAAGTGGTAATTTAAAAATTACAACAAAAAAAAAGTCCAGGACCAGACAGATTCACAGCAGAATTCTACCAGACATTCAAAGAAGAATTGGTACCAATCCTTTTGACACTATTCCACAAGATAGAGAAAGAAGGAACCCTCCCTAATAATTCATAATTCATTCTATGAAGCTAGCATCACCCTAATACCAAAACCAGGAAAAGACATAACCAAAAAAGAAAACTAAAGACTGGTATCGATGAGCATAGATGCTAAAATCCTTAACAAAATACTAGCTAACCGAAAAAAGATAATCCACCATGATCAAGTGTGTTTCATGCCAGGGATGCAGGGATGGTTTAACATACGCAAGTCAATAAATGTGATACACCACATAAACAGAATTAAAAACAAAAATCACATGATCATGTCAATAGATGCAAAAAAAGCATTTGACAAAACTCAGCGTTCCTTTATGATTAAAACTCTCAACAAAATTGGCATACAAGGGACATACTTTAATGCAATAAAAGCCATCTATAACAAACCCACAGACAACATACTGAATGGGGAAAAGTTGAAAGCATTTCCTGTGAGCATGAGGAAAAGACAAGGATGCCCACTTTCACCACTCCTCTTCAACATAGTACTAGAAGGCCTGGCCAGAGCAATCAGACAAGAGAAAGAAATAAAGGGCATCCAGATCAGTAAAGAGGAAGTCACATTGTCACTGTTTGCTGATGATAGGATCGTTTACCATGAAAATCCTAAGGACTCCTCTAGAAAGCTCCTATAACTGATAAAATAATTCAGCGAAGTTTCCAGATATAAGATTAATGTACAAAAATCAGTAGCTCTTCTATACACCAACAGCAACCAAGCGGAGAATGAAATCAAGAACTTAACTTTTTTTACAATAGCTGCAAAAAAAATAAATAAAATACTCAAGAATATACCTAACAAAGGAGTCAAAAGACCTCTACAAGAAAAACTACAAAACAGTGCAGAAAGAAATCATAGATGCCACAAACAAATGGAAACACATCCCATGCTCATGGATGGGTAGAATCAATATTGTGAAAATATTGCCAAAGCAATCTACAAATTCAATGCAGTCACCATCAGAATACCACCATCATTCTTCACAGAATTAAAAAAAAAAAAAATTATAAAGATCATATGGAACCAAAAAAGAGCCTGCATAGCCAAAGCAATACTAAGCAAAAAGAACAAATCTGGCGGCATCACACTACCTAATTTCAAACTATACTGTAGAGTCATAGTCACCAAAACAGTGTGGTACTGGTATAAAAATAGGCATATAGACCAATGGAACAGAATAGAGAACCCAGAAATAAACCCAAATACTTACAGCCAACTGATCTTCGACAAAGCAAAGAAAAACATAAAGAGAGGCAAGAACACTCTTTTCAACAAATGGTGCTGGGATAATTAGCTAGCCACACGTAAGGAAACGAAACTGGATCCTCATCTCTCACATTATACAAAAATCAACTCAAGATGGATTAAGGACTTAAACCCTAAGACCTGAAACTGTAAAAATTCTAGAAGATAACATTGGAAAAACCCTTCTTGATATTGGCTTAGGCAAGGATTTCATGACCAGGGACCCAAAAGCAAATGCAATAAAAACAAAAGATAAATAGCTGGAACCTAATTAAACTGAAGAGCTGTTGCATGGCAAAAGGAACAGTCAGCAGAGTAAACAGACAACCCACAGAGTGTGAAAAAATCTTCGCAATCTATACATCTGAAAAACAACTAATATCCGGAATCTACAACGAACTCAAGTCAGTGAGAAAAAAAATCCTATCAGAAAGTGGGCTTAGGACATGAATAAACAGTTCTCAAAAGAAAATATACAAATTGCCAACAAACATGAAAAAATGCTCAACATCACAATGATCAGGGAAATGCAAATGAGAACCACAATGTGATACCACCTTACTCCTGCGAGGATGGCCATAATAAAAAAATCAAAAATCAGTAGATGTTGGCGTGGATGCTGTGAACAGGGAACACTTCTACACTGCTGGTGGCAATGTAAACTAGTACAGCCACTATGGAAAACAGTGCAGAGATTCCTTAAAGAACTAAAAGTAGAACTACCATTTGATCCAGTAATCCCACTACTGGGTATCTACCCAGAGGAAAAGAAGTCATTAATCAAAAAAAATACTTGTACACGCACGTTTCTAGCAGCGCAATTCACAATTGCAAAATCGTGGAAGCAAACCAAATGCCCATCAATCAATGAGTGGATAAAGAAACTGTGGTGTATATAGACGATAGAATACTATGCAGCCATAAAAAGGAATGAATTAACAGCATTTGCAGTGACCTGGATGAGATTGGAGACTATTATTCTAAGCAATGCAACTCAGAATGGAAAACCAAACATCATATGTTCTCACTGATATGTGGGAGCTAAGCTATGAGGACTCAAAGGCATAAGAATGATACAATGTACTTTGGGGACTTGGGGGGAAGAGTGAGAGGGGGTCGAGGGATAAAAGATTACAAATATGGTGCCATATATACTGATGCATGCACTAAAATCTCATAAATCACCACTAAAGAACTTACTCATGTAACTAAATACCATGTGTACCCCAACACCCCAATAACTTATGGGGAAAAACAAAAGAACATATCCCAGTTAAAAAAAAATTGATGGGTTAAAGAAATAAGAGTAGAAATAGCTAGATGTTTATACTTTAACAATTTAGCCTATGTATATCAAAGTGGATAGAATGCAACTAAGGTGGTACCCAGAGGCAAATTTACATGAATTTTAGCTTAGATACATTAATATAACTTACATGCATTTGGAAATAAGAAAGATACAAAATAAATGAATCATGCTTTTAAATCATCACTAAACTATAAAACCCAACAAATAAATCAGTGAAATTGAAAAAAGAAGATATAACTACAAAAAGAGCAATTTGATAGTATTTTTAAAAATTAAGCATACTCGGCCGGGCACGGTGGCTTGCACTTGTAATCTCAGCTCTTTGGGAGGCCAAGGTGGGTGGATCACGAGGTCAGGAGATCAAGACAATCCTGGCTAACACGGTGAAACCCCGTCTCTACTAAAAATACAAAAAAATGAGCCGGGTGTTGTGGCAGGCGCCTATAGTCCCAGCTACTCAGGAGGCTGAGGCAGGAGAATGGCGTGAACCCAGGAGGCGGAGCGTGCAGTGAGCCAAGATTGTGCCACTGTACCCCAGCCTGTGCAACAGAGCCAGACTGCATCTCAAAAAAAAAAAAAAATTAAGCATACTATTTGCTACAGTAATTCTACCTATCACCCATTCACACAAAGAGAAATGTACAAGGATGAACATCGTTTTTAATTGCAAAATATTAGAAACAGCCTAAGGGGTATATCAGTAGGAATATAATTAAATAATGTACAGCAAATATAATAGTACAATAATTAAAAAGAAAAATCTGGAGCTATATTAGCATAAATAGATTTCAAAAAATGTTGAGGGAAAAAGCAGTGCCTACTGTGTGGTATTATTTATGTGAAGAAAACATGCTTGCATATAAAGAAATATATATATGTGGATACATATATACCTATATATAGTTTACTGAAAAGTCTTGAAGGATATATGCCAAATCAAAATGGGAAGAGACCAGAATTCAGGTGGAACTCAAGGAGGGATTTAGCTTTATCAATAATATTCTGATTTTTTAAAAGAAAATATATTCATACATAAATTTCAAAAAATAAAAACACAAACCAGATTTTCAAATGTTTTAGTTGTTATTAATCAGCTCATACTTAGGGGACAGAATATATATCGTATAAATCCATGGATTTAGAATATGTAAACAGAGCCAAGCATCCTTTGTGTAATACAGACTCTCCTCTTGGTATGTTCTTTTCAGGTATGACCCCAAAACAAACCAGTGGAGCAGTGATGTGGCCCCTACAAGCACCTGCAGGACAAGTGTTGGTGTAGCAGTACTTGGAGGCTTTCTCTATGCTGTGGGTGGCCAGGATGGCGTGTCTTGCCTCAACATTGTTGAGAGGTGATTTTTTTTTAAGTCATTTTCTGTATTTTTATTTTAAAGAACATAGAGCTCTTTAAAAGAAACAAGTACAGGCCGGGCATGGTGGCTCACACCTGTAATCCTAGCACTTTGGAAGGCCAAGGCAGGTGGATTGCTTGAGCTCAGGAGTTCAAGACCAGCCTAGGCAACATGGTGAGATTAAAAAAAAACAAAAAAATTAGCCGGGCATGGCGGTGCATGCCTGTAGTCCCAGCTACTTGTGGGGCTGAGGCGAGAGGATCACTTGAGCCCAGGAAGTTGAGGCTGCAATGAGCTGAGATCATGCCACTGCACTCCAGCCTGGGTACAAAATGAGACCCTATATCAAGGAAAAAAAAAGAAAAGAAACAAGTGCAGCTGAATTTAGGACATTGGAGGATCCACTATTCAGTGGCTTTCCCATAGGCTTTCAGGAAAAAGTCTTCAGTTGATCTTAAAGTCTAGGAAAATGAAAGATCTAAAAAAAGTTTTTTTTTAATTAACAAAAATTGTATATATTCATAGTGTACAGCATGATGTTTTGAAATATGTATAGCTGGTGGAATGGCTAAATCAAGCTAATTAACATATTTATTACCTCACATACTCATGATTTATTTGTGGTGAGAACACTTAAAATCTACTCTCAAGTGTATAATACATTGTTATTAACTATAGTTACTATGTTGTACATTAGAGTCCTTGAATTTATTCCTTCTCTCTAACTGAAATTTTGTATTCGTTTACCAAGATTTCCTCACTGCCCCTCACCTTGCCGGCCCCTGGTAACCACCATTCTACTCTCTACTTCCATGAGTTCAACTTTTTTAGATGCTTTATATAAGTGAGATCATGCAATATTTGTCTCTGTTTAGCTTGTTTCACTTAATGTCCTCCAGGTTTATCCATGCCATCACAAATGCCAGGATTTCCTTCTTTTTTAAGACTGAATAGTATTCTATTCATATATGCCATATTTTCTGTATCCATTCATCTGTTGAAGTACATTTAGCTTAACTTCATATCTTGTCTATTGTAAATAATGCTGCAATGAATATGAAAGTACAGGTATCTCTTCAACATACTTATTTCCATTGAATATATACTTAGTAGTGGGATTACTGGATCATATGATAGTTGTATCTTTAATTTTTCGAGGAACCGCTATACTGTTTTCTGTAATGGCTATACTAGTTTACATTCTCATCAATAGAGTGCAAGGGTTTCCTTTTCTCCATATTCTTGCCAATATTTATCTTTCTTTTTTTATATAGTAGCCATTCTAACAGGTGTGACATGATATTTCGTTGTGATTTTAATTTGCATTTCCCTGATGATCAGTGATATTGAGCATTTTCTCATATCCTTAGCCATTTGTATGTGTTTGTTTTGAAAAGTATCTGTTCAGGTCCTTTGGCCATTTTTAAATCAGATTATTTGTTTTCTTGCTGTTAAGTTGTTAAGTTCCTTATATATTTTCAGTATTAACCTTTTATGAGATGTATGGTTTGCAAATATGTTCTCCCACTCTGTAGATTGTCTCTTCACTCTGTTGATTGTTTCCTTTGCCATGCAGAAGCCTTTTAGTTTGACATAATCTTACTTTTTTTGCTTTTGTTGCCTATGCTTTGGGGCACATAACCTGAGTTTTTCAACTGTCACGTTGATTGTACCTAACATTGAAATGTTAGAAAAGTATTTCAGATTACGTTCTATATATATCAAGCATACCACTTGTGAAATCTGTTCTGATTTTTTTCCCGAATCTACCTGGAGTGTACTTAATGCATGACTCTACTCAGACTTCCCTCAGAGAAATGATTAAGTAATAATACTTTGTATAGGACATCTGATAAAAAGCTTAAAGTATTTTGTATATAGACTCTCATTAATCATTGAAGTATGCTTAGGGAAATCTAGGTGGGCTGCCATAGTCACTTTATACTAGTGTACAAATAGTTAATTTTGGTGGAACAGATTTTGTTCTTAATTTCTTCTGTCAGCTTTTCGTCATTAGATTTTAGAGTCTCATGTGGTATGATTACTGATAACAACATATATTTCATCCTTCTTAAAAAGAAATGCGTCATGACTAAAATTTTTGAGGTAGCATTTGCTAGTTTACCATGTATATGTTGAAAAGTTTAACTGTTGTCAGTACAGATAAAATAGAAGGTAACTCTTGAAAGCTATGCCAGTTGCCTTTTATCTCTCTGTCAAGATTTTTTCACTTTCAAAACTCAGTACAGGAGGTTAGCAGCAGTGATGGCATAGTTTTTTAATATCTCCAAATGCCCACATAAAAACAGATAGAGTAATAGATAGCAAAGCTGAAAACCTATGTACTAGTTCTGGAGATTGGAGTTACACAACAATGTGAATATACTTAACACTACTAAACAGTTAAAACATGGTTAAGATAGTAAATTTTATGTTATATTATGTGTATTTTACCACAATTTAAAAATCAGAACCTGTGAACAAAATTAAAGACAAAACTAAAGGAAAGGATATCCTCACAAACTCCAAAACACAAACGGGCAAAGACAAACTACCTTTAGCCACAAGACCTGCATGGTATTAGTATCTTCAGGAGAAATCAGAAAGAAGCAACTGGATGTCTGACAGATCTAAGAACAAAAGAACCTCAAACTAGCTAATACATAGTCACTAGAAATCACAAGGGGAAAATTTATCAGCAACTGAAACTAGGACCAGTTTTGTCCACCGCCAGAGAGTGTAAGTGTAAGACTTCAATAAGACCTGAAGGATTTAGAAGAGCATTTCTCAACCTCAGCACTACTGGTGTTTTGGGTCAGACAATTACTTGTTGTGGGGGACTGTCCTGTGCATTGTAGGATGTTTAACAGCATCCATAGCCTCTACCAACTAAGTGCCAGAAGCACATGCTTGGTTGTGATAACCAAAAATGTCTCCAAACATTGCCAGATGTTACCTAGGGGATGAGAAAGGGGGGATGAAGGGGAAAAAAATAACACCTGGTTGGGAACCAGCTGGGTTAGAACCATCTAGTCCCTGGAAACTCTCAAAACTGAGCAGCCAGGATAACCTTCCAGGTCAGGACTCTACACTGAGGAGAAGCTTCTGGGAGTAGAATCAAAATTAAGCAGGATGAGGGCAACAGATGCCCTTGTTTTCCTTGAAAAGAGAAAGCCAAGACAAAAGTAAGGCAGTGAATAGTCAGTAAATCACTGGACTAGGCGCTGTGGCTCTCACCCATAATCCCAACACTTTGGGAGGCCTAGGTGGGAGGGTTGCTTGAGTCCAGGATTTCAAAACTAGCCTGGGCACCATAGTGAGACCTTGTCTCTCCAAAAAATAAAAAAATTAGCCAGGCGTAGTGGCACACGCCTGTGGTCCCAGTTACTCAGGAGGCTGAGGTGAGAGGATTGCTGGGAGGTCAAGGCTGCAGTGAGCCATGATCGCTCCACTGCACTCCAGCCAGGGTAATAGAGTGAGACCCTGTCTCAAAAAAAAAAAAAAAAAAAAAAAATTTAAGGATACCTAATTCTTTTTGATGTGATTATTTCACATTGCATGCATGTATCAAAACATCTCATATACCCCATAAATATATACACAAAAATTAAAAATAAAAAAATTTAAGTAATAATCTCTGAAGGCAAGGCACTATATTTTTTAATACTACATTAAAAAAAGAAGGAGCTCCACAAAGTTAGAAAAACTATCACAAACCAAACCACTCACTCCTATTTCTAAAAGTTCAGGAAAACTCACTTCATGTAAAAATGAAATAGCAAAGTATTGAGATTAGATTCCAAACAAAGTGAATATAAGAAGAGAGAATAAGCAGCAGAATAACATCTCTACAGAAAATAAAAGCACACTAGAAAGACACACCTACACATCAAAACCTTAACTGTTTCAAAATGTGATAAAAGACATTAAGGAAATGATACAAGATATGAAACTACATAATCAGAAGTGAAGTGACAGAACTCAGAAAAGTATTAGAAATGAAAGGAAAAATCATTTCAGAATGAAGATTAAAGGATAATAAGCAAAACAGATAATGCCATAAGACAAATAGAAGTCAAAAAGAGGAAATATTTTAAGGTCAAAAAGAAATCAAGGGCGGGCACCGTGGCTTATGCCTGTAATCCCAGCACTTCGGGAGGCTGAAGGGGGGGGGGTGGAGCACCTGAGGTCAGGAGTTCAAGACCAGCCTGACTAACATGGTGAAACCCCGTCTCTACTAAAAATACAGAATTAGCCAGATGTGGTGGCAGGCACCTGTAATCCCAGCTGCTTGGGAGGCTTGAACCCAGGAGGTGGAGGTTGCAGTGAGCCAAGATCGCGCCATTGAGCTCCACCGTGGTCATCAAGAGCAGAATTCTCTCTCAAAAAATAAATAAATAAATAGAAAAAAATCAAGAGAGCATTTGAGAGATAGCAACAAATATTGAAAATAGGTAAAAATCTATTATACAGATCATAGCAGTCCTTAAAGAAGAAAACCAAAGTGACGAAACAGAACGAATACTAAGAACTGTAATTCAAAATTACTTTCCTGTAATTAAAAAAAATTGAAACTTTTTTGAAAGAATACACTATATCCTTCAAATATTGACCCAGAACACCAAGACATATGCAATAATATGACTGTACCTTGAAGAAAAAATTATTTAGGTATCTACAAAAAAGTACATGCTACTTATAAGGAAAAGAAACTTAGATTATCATCTGGCTTTTTAAAAGTAGTACTTCATGCCAGAAGAAAATAGAATGGCATGTTTTAGATATTCAAGAAAAATGTGAGCCAAGGATTTTATACCTTGAGAAACCGACTCTGAAGTACAAAGGGCACAGACAACTCTTATCAACATGTAAGAGATTAGGGAATCTTGTTCTCTTGAGCCCTGTAGGAGAACAAACTTCGGACAAAATTACTAGAAAGACATTGACAGAAAGGCTGGACCACATGGTTCACACCTGTAATCCCAGCACTTTGGTAAGCCAAGGTGGGAGGATCGCTTGAGACTAGGAGTTCAAGGCTGCAGTGAGCCATGATCATATCACTGCACTTTAGCCTGAGTGACAGAGCAAGATCCTGCCTCAAATAAATAAATACAGTTAATTGTAGAACTATGACTAAATGAAGATTAAAAGGGAGGGCTGGGTGCTTGGATTATAGGCTCTGACCTATAATTCCAGCACTTTGGGAGCCCAAGGTAGAAGTATCACTTGAGGCCAGGAGTTTGAGACCAACCTAGGCAACATAGTAAGACCCTATATCTTAAAAATGTATATATGTATATTTTTTAATTAGCCATTCATGGTGGTGCGCACTTGTAGTCTCAGCTACTCAGAAGGCTAAGACAGGAGATTGCTTGAGCCCAGGAGTTCAAGATTATAGTGAGCTGTGATTGCACCACTGTACCCCAGCCTGGGTGACAGACTGACCCTGTCTCTAAAAATAAAAATAAAAGGGAGAGAGTGTAGCATGCTCTAGCTATGTACTCAGTCCATGTAAATGTAGTACAAAGAAAAGGTATGCAAAAAGGAATTTTAATTGTTCTAAGGGATATTAGTGATAATATTGCTATTCTGCTATGTGTATAAATTTAGAATAAAGGAAATGAGTGTGGATTATTCTAATTCTGTTCTCTCCTTTGTCCTTGAAAACCAGAGTGTGGAGGTAGAAGAAGATAAGGTTGTAAAATAGAAGTTAAATAAAGTATCTCGTAGTCCTGAGTATGAATTTGAACTAAATTCTTCTTTTGAAAAAATTTCTATATATTCTAGCTTGTCAACTGAGAAAGCCTAGAAATAAAGTGTCAGTGAACATCTCTGCACCCAGATTGTATCTTGAAATATTATTTCCCACTTAAACCAGAGCCTTATTGGAAAAATGTCTGATTCTAGGTTTAGAACAGGAAATGTGCAGATGAGTCTGTACCCTCTTGTCATACCAAATAGCAAGCAAGCTGTCAGAGACTGCTAAGAGTCTAAAAGACTCAGCCAACTTGAAGATGTTCCCACTGACCAAAGATAAGATAATTTCAGCTTTAAAAGGGATAATTGCAATAGATTTAAATCCAATAAATACACTTAAATCTATGAGTTCTTAATGTTAAATTTTTTAAGACTAATTGGTTGCCTTTGGAAGATCATAGGGAACAAATTTATTATCTCAAAACATGTAAATAAAGTGAAAGGAGAGAGCATATATCCTGCCTTTCTTATATGAACTGTATTATTATATCAATTGAGTAACCAAATAGTAGATAAAAGGATTGTTTCTTTATAAAATTATCCCAATAAAATAAAATAAGTGATAGAATACTATCATTTTGAAACACTCAGTAAATTAGTGTATCCAGACATTGATAAACAGCTGCTAACATACCACCTTCTGTAGTCTTGTTTAAGGAATCAAACATGGTCTGATCAAAGTTCTAGATCCAACTACCAATTTGCCCAACATAAAAAGGACAGAGCAACAGATTGAACTGCACTATGAATGTACGGTCAACCAAATCCATATTATGGGGAAAACTGTCATACACTCTAGGTTCTAAAACAGATGAATTGCAGGGAGGAAAAGGAATGGAGGGAAAACCTGTAGACAATAAGAGACTCTTTAATTTTTTTAGAGACAGGGTCTCACTCTGTCGCCCAGGCTAGAGTGCAGTGGTGCAATAATAGCTCACAACTGTCTCAAGCAATCCCTGCTTCAGCCTCCCAAGCAACTGGAACTGCAGGTGAACACCACCATGACTGGCTAATTTTTTTTTCCAATTTTTTTATAGAGATAAGGTCTCTCTGTGTTGACCAGGCAGGTCTTGAACTCGAACTCGTGGCCTCAAGCAGTCCTCTAGCCTTGGCCTTCCAAAGTGCTGGGATTACAGGTATGAGCCACCACACTCAGCCTTTTTTTAATTTAATTTTTATTTATTTATTTATTTATTTATTTATTTATTTATTTATTTATTTATTTCTCAGCCAGGCACAGTAACTCACCTGTAATCTCAGTGCTTTGGGGGGCTGAGGTGAGAGGATTGCTTGAGGCCAGCAGTTTGAGACTAGCCTGGTCAACACAGCAAGACCCCTATTTTTAAATAAATATTAATGAAAATTTTTCTAAATGTAATGTTAAGTAAGACTGAAGTGTCTAGGGATGACACTTGAGTGATAAAACAATAAACACAAGGAAGTGATAACTGTTAAAAGTCAGGATAATGGTTATTTGTGGAGAGGAGAAGATAAGAGACTGGAAAAGGACACATTGCAGGGCTTCCAGAGTGGCATGCAAAGTTCTTTTTCTTGGCTTGGGTGGTGTTTACAAGGGGGCTTTCCTGATAATAACTCTTAAACTATACATTTATCTTGTGTGGCTCTCTGTATTTGAGCTTTATTTTATAATAAAAAGGTTGTTTCAAAGAACTATGCAAAAGACTTCTACTTCCAAATAGGATATAGTAGAGAGTAACAGCCATCACCCCCACTACAACAACTAGGAAAAAAAGACAAATTACAAAAATCATTTTAAAATACATCAGAGGCATTTCAAAGATGACCAGATGAACTAAAATTCCATTGAAGAAAGAGCCTGTATTGCCGGCCGGGCGCGGTGTCTCATGCCTGTAATCCCAACACTTTGGGAGGCCCAGGCGGGCAGATCATGAGGTCAGGAGATCGAGAGCATTCTAGCTAACATGGTGAAACCCCATCTCTACTAAAAATACAAAAAATTAGCCAGGCGTGGTGGCAGGCACCTGTAGTCCCCACTGCTTGGGAGGCTGAGGCAGGAGAATGGCGTGAACCTGGGAGGTGGAGCTTGCAGTGAACCGAGATCGTGCCACCGCACTCCAGCCTGGGCGACAGAACAAGACTCCATCTCAAAAAAAAAAAGAAAGAAAGAAAGAGCCTGTGTTATGTGAACTGAGGTCATAGGTTGTTTTCTTCTTTCCTTGGGACATTTTCCAAGTCTGAGTGTAGAAAATAGCTTAATAGCTGACACAGATATAAATTCTAAGATGTTTTTCTAATGACTAAGTAAAATGTTAGATTTTCATTGCGCATTTGACTAGAGCAAGTCTGTGTACTCAGTATATCTTTAGTGTGATTTCAGAGCTTATGAAAAAGGCTTCACTTAATAAGAACAAGCATACAGTCTGGTTTCCCTCACTACAGGTATGATCCGAAGGAGAACAAGTGGACTCGGGTAGCTTCTATGAGTACCAGAAGACTAGGTGTGGCTGTGGCTGTGTTAGGAGGGTTCTTATATGCTGTAGGTGGCTCTGACGGGACATCTCCACTCAACACAGGTTAGTCCCTCCCAAAGGCAATCATGTTACCCAAAAGCAGAACGTTTTCCTGGAGAGTCCTCCTACAAAAAGTGTAGAAACTCCAGGTTATCCTGTAATTTACTAGGAAAATGCTTGATTTTCCCTCCAGCAGAGTGCAGCTCTCAGCTCTTCCTCAGCTCCTACTATAGTCATATTCTGAGTACATTCCCCAAATATTTGTTTCTTCCCCTGCTTTACAAGCTGCTGGAAATGTATAATGAATTTTTAAAACTACTTTCTTATATACTTTCTCATATAAGTAGTTCCTTTTCCTCCATCACAACTTCTCCTCAAAAAAACCCACAACATACTCTATATTATAATCTAAGAATAAATAAAAGCTTAGAACTACAAATTCGTTTGTTTGGGTTTTGTTTTTGTTTTTCTTTTTCTTTTTATGATAGGGTCTCGCTCTGTCACCCAGGCTAGAGTCCAGTGGCATGATCTTGGCTCACTGCAACCTCTACCTCCGGGGCTCAAGCAGTCCTCCCACTTCAGCCTCCCGAGTGGCTGGGATTATAGGTGTGTGCCACCAGGCCTGGCTGATTTTTGTATTTTTAGTAGAAATGGAGTTTCGCCATGTTGCCCAGGCTGGTCTCAAACTCCTGAGCTCAAGTGATCCACCCACCTCAGCCTCCTAAAGTGCTGGAATTATAAGCGTGAGCCACTGCACCTGGCCTGGTTTGTTATTCCTTTCTATTTAGATATTATGGGTATTTTTGCCTAAGGATATTGTCGATATGACAGTCACACCAGATTCATTGTCACATGTCTTCTCTTCAGAAGTTTAAAATGCACTATGCTATAGGGAAGGGAATATAGGAGTACAGAAGTTGTCTGATTATGATAATAAATTATTAGTACTGAATGATGCTTATTGATCATGTAGTCAGGCTCCCCATTGAATGATAAGGAGAGTGAGGCTGAGAGTCATGTAGCTAATTAGTCATTTAGATAAAACTAGAACCAGAGTATCTGAATCCCAACACATGCCCTTTCCACTGTACCATACCTAGAAGAAACCAGCCCCTGATGAGAGTATATGTGGTATTGTCCAGAGGTATACAAATCCTTCTCAGAAGCAAAAATCAGATCATGTGTTGAAAATATGTTATCACAAAATATCAGTGGCTATAAAGAAAACTGGAGGTGAGAGGAAATGGTTGAATGCTCACTTACTGGTTTTTCTTTTCCCTACAGTGGAACGTTACAATCCTCAGGAAAACAGATGGCACACTATAGCCCCTATGGGGACCCGGAGGAAACACCTAGGCTGTGCAGTGTATCAGGACATGATCTATGCTGTAGGAGGTAGAGATGACACTACAGAGCTGAGCAGTGCTGAGAGATACAACCCCAGAACCAACCAGTGGTCTCCGGTGGTGGCCATGACATCACGCCGTAGTGGAGTAAGTGGAGTTATGGACACTTAGGTTGCTTCCAAATCTTGGCTATTAATAGTGCTGCAATAAACATGGGAGTGTAGATATCTCTTCAATATACTGATTTCCTTTCTTTGGGGTATATACCTAGCAATTAGATTGCTGGATCATATGATATTTCTATTCTTAGTTTTTTGAGGAACCTCCAAACTATTGTACTAATTTACATTTCCACCAGCAGTGTAGGAGGGTTCCCTTTTCTCTGCATCTTTATCAGCAATCATTATGGCCTGACTTTTGGTTAAAAACCATTTTAACTGGGGTGAGATGACATCTCATTGTAATTTTCATTTCCATTTCTCTAGTGATCAGATGTTGAGCACCTTTTCATATACCTGTCTGCTATTTTTATGCCTTCTTTGGAGAAAGGTCTATTCAGATCTTTTTGCCCACTTTTTAATTGGATTATTTGATTTTTTTCTGTTGAGTTGTTTGAGCCCTTATATATTCTAGTTATTAAATCCCTTGTCAGATGGGTAGTTTTCTCCTATTCAGTGGGTTGTCTTTTCATTTTGTTGGTTGTTTCCTTTGCTGTGCAGAAACTTTTTGACTTAATGTGATCCCATTTGTCTATTTTTTCTTTGGTTGCCTGTGCTTGTGGAGTATTACTGAAAAAACATCTTTGCCCAGACCAACGTCCTGGAGAGTTTCCCCAGTGTTTTCTTTTAGCAGTTTCATTGTTTGAGGCCTTAGATTTAAGGCTTTACTTCATTTTAATTTGATTTTTGTATATGGCAAAAAATGGAGTCTAGTTTGATTCTGCATATAGATACCCAGTTTTCCCAGCACCATTAATTGAAGAGATTGTCCTTTCCCCGATGTACATTCCTGGCACCTTTGTCAAAAAAACAGTTTGCTGGAAATGTATAGGTTTATTTCTGGGTTCTCCATTCTTTTCCGTTGGTCTATGTGTCTGTTTTTATGCTAGTCTCATACTGTTTTGGTTACTGTAGCTCTTTGGTATAATTTGAAGTCAGATATAATTTGAAGTCAGATTCCTCCAGTTTTGGTCTTGTTGCTCAAGATAGCTTTGGCTATTCTGGGTCTTTGTGGTTGCATATAAATTTTAGGATTTTTTTTTCTATTTCTGTGAAGACTGTCATTGGTATTTTGGTAGGGATTGCATTGAATCTGTAGATTGTTTTGGATAGTATGGACATTTTAACAATATTGATTCTTCCAATCCTTGAACATGGAATGTCTTTTCATTTTTGTGTGTCCTCTTCAATTTCTTGCATCAGTGTTTTCTAGTTTTCATCATATTTTTCACTTCTTTGGTTTAGTTTATTCCTAGGTATTTTATTTTATTTGTAGTTATTGTAAATAGGATTACTTTCTTGATTTCTTTTTCAGATTGTTTGCTGTTGGCATATAGAAATGCTACTGATTTTTGTATCTTGATTTTGTATCCTGCAGCTTTGCTGAATTTAGCAGTTCTAATAGTTTTTTGGTGGAGTCTTTAGGTTTTTCCAAATATAAGATCATATTGTCTGCAAAGAAGAATAACTTGACTTCTTCCTTTCCAATTTGAATGTCCTTTATTTCTTTCTTTTGTCCTATTGCTCTAGCTAGGACTTCCAGTACTATACTGAATAACAGTGGTGAAAGTGCGCATGCCTGTCTTGTTCCAGATCTTAGAGGAAAGGCTTTCCGTTTTTCTCCATTCTAAATGATGCTACAGTGGGTCTGTCATATATGGTTTTTATTGTGTTGAGGTATGTTCCCTCTATACCCAGTTTTTTAAAGGTTTTTATCATGAAGGGATGCTTACTTTTATCAAATGCTTTTTCAGCATCAATTGAAATGATTGTTTGGTTTTTGTCCTTCATTCTGTTGATATGATGTACCACACTGATTGATTTGCATATGTTGAACCATTCTTGCATCCCTGGGATAATTTCTTCCTGGTCATGATGAATGATCTTTCTAATGTGTCATTGAATTCAGTTTGCTAGGATTTTGTTGAAGATTTTTGCATCATTGTTCATGGAGGATATTGGACTGTAGTTTTCTTTTTTTGATGTGTCTTTGTCTGGTTTGGGTATCAGGGTAATACTGGCCTCCTAAAGTGAGTTTGGAAGTGTTCCCTCTTCCTCTATGTTTGGAGTAGTTTGATAGGATTGGTATTAGTTCTTCTTTAAATATTTGATAAGATTCAGCAGTGAGGCCATTGGGTCCTGGGCTTTTCTTTGTTGGGAGATTATTTTTTTTTCTTTTCTTTTCTTTCATTATACTTTAAGTTCTAGGGTACATGTGCACAGTGTGCAGGTTTGATACATAGGTCTACATGTGCCATGTTGGTTTGCTGCACCAATCAACTCATCATTTACATTAGGTATTTTTCTTAGCGCTATCACTCCCCCAGCCCCCCACTCCCCGACAGGCCCTGGTATGTGATGTCCCCCGCCCTGTGTTTAGTGATATCATTGTTCAATTCTGCTGGGAGATTTTTTATTACAGCTTTGATCTCATTACTTTTTTGTTTTGTTTTGAGATAGGGTCTGGGTCTGTCGCCAAGGTTGGAGTGCAATGATACAGTGTCGGCTCACTGAATCCTCCACCTCCCAGGCTCAAACCATCCTTCCACCTCAGTCTACCCATTAGCTGGGACTACAGGTGCACACCACCACGCCCAGCTAATTTTTGTTTTTTGTTTTTTTGTTTTTTGGCAGAGTTGGGGTTTTGCCATGTTGCCCAGGCTGGTCTCAAACTCCTGGGCTCAAGCGATCTATTCACCTCAGCCTCCCAAAGTGCTGAGATTACAGGCATGAGCCACCACACTCAGCCTCATTACTTGTTATTGGTCTGTTCAAGTTTTGGATTTCTTTATGGGTCAATCTTGGTAGGTTGTATGTGTTTAGGAATTTATCTGTTTCTTCTAGATTTTCCAATTTATTGGCATATATTTGTTCATAATAGCCTCTAATTATCCTTTGAATTTCTGTGGTATCAGTTGTAATGTCTCCTTTTTCTTCTCTGATTTTATTTATTTGGGCCTTCTCTCTTTTTTCTTAGTCTGCCTAAAGGTTTGTTGATTTTGTTTATCCTTTCAAAAGTCAACTTTTCATTTCATTGATCTTTTGTGTTTTTTTCACTTGAATTTCATTAATTTCTGCTCTGATCTTTATTGTTTCTTCTCATTTTGGATTTGGTTCTTTTCTAGTTCTTTAAGATGCATTGTTAGGTTATTTGAAGTTTTTGTACTTTTTTGACGTAGGCTCTTATTGCTATAAACTTTCCTTTTACTTTCACTTTATGTCCAAAACCACTTTATAGGTTTTGGTATGTTGTTTTTCCATTTTCATTTGTTTCAAGAAATTTTTAATTTCTTCATTTCTTCATTGACCCACTGGTCATTCAGGATGCTTTTAGGTAAATCAAGCCCTGCTAATTTGACACTAGAAAATAATGAATTTCTTTTGATTATTTTTATCTCATGTAGTTTAAAAATTTTGTGTCCAGTCATATCTTTAATTAGAGAATAATTTTTTAGGATTTCTCTTTTTTTTTTTTTTTTGAGAAGGAGTCTCACTCTGTCACCCAGGCTGGAGTGCAGTAGCACAATCTCAGCTCACTGCAACTTCCACCTCCCAGGTTCAAGCAGTTCTCCTGCCTCAGCCTCCCAAGTAGCTGGGACTATAGGCATGTGCCACCATGTCCAGCTAACTTTTGTATTTTTAGTAGAGATGGGGTTTCGCCATGTTAGCCAGGCTGGTCTCGAACTCCTGACCTCAGGTGATCCAACCCCCGCAGCCTCCCAAAGTGCCGGGATTACAGGCATAAGTCACTGTGCCTGGCTTTTATGATTTATCCTGTATCCATTGCTTTTCTGAAACAATCTCCCCAAATTATCTACTACCTTACCTAAATTAATATTAGATCTATATATTGCAACCTAATGTTTCCAGCTAACAGTCTAAGTAGTTGGCATACTAACACAAATGTTTAGGCAAAAATACATCTGGCCCCACCCCCAGTCTCCACAAACTAGTTTGAGTCTATCCTATGTATAGTATAGACCAGATCAGACTCCCCTGTGACATGTTCTAGACCATGGATGGCCTGTGACTACAAGAGACATCTGGGTGAAGTATAGAATTCATCCATCTTGGAATGTTTGCTCAGAGCAAAATGTAACCCATTAACCACTGATCATGTCAGGAGTTTATCGAGGCATCCATAACAGGAAGGAGAAGCAAGCAGTAGCTAAGCACTCCACAATCTGAGGATAAAAGAGAGTGAATTCTGGTTGGCATAAATCAAGGAACACCACTGGAAGGTGTCAGCAAGTCAAAGCCTTCACATATCTATGGCTTTTGGTTACTGACAACTAACAGCATCTTAGTCATATTCCTGTTAAGTGTTTGCTATGTGTTGGGAAAGCAAAAATGAGTATGACATGATTCCTCTCCTTTAGTAGCTCCCAATTTAGTGAAGGAAATTGAAATGTTTACAGCTAACTATAATAAATAAACCCTACAGTGGTGTTACGTATTTTATGGAAGAACATAGGAGAATGCACTTACTGCTTTGGGGAAGTAAGAATGAGTTGGGGCAGTGAAGAGACTACCAAAGACTATCACATGTAAGCTAGCTCATGAAGAATAAGCTTTTCTAAAAGACAGAAAACAGTAGCCAGGGCCAGGTGCGGTGGCTCATGCCTGTAATCCCAGCACTTTGAAAGGCAGAGACAGGATTACTTGAGCCCAGGAATTTGAGACCAGTCCGGGCAACATGAGACCCCATCTATACAAAAAATTTAAAAATTAGCCAGATGTAGTGGTGCATCCCTGTAGTCCCAGCAACTTAAGAAGCTGAGGTGGGAGGATCACTTGAGCCTAGGAGGTGGACGCTATCGTGAACTGTTTTTTTGTTTTATTTTTTGAGCCTGTCACCCAGGCTGTAGTGCAGTGGTGTGATCTTGGCTCACTGCAACCTCCACCTCCCAGGCTCAAGTGATTCTCCTGCCTCAGCCTCCTGAGTAGCTAGGACTACAGGACTACAGGTGCGTGCCACCATGCCCGGCTATTTCTTTGTATTTTTAGTAAAGACGGTTTCACTATGGTGATCTGTGATCCTGCTACTGCACTGCAACTTGAGTGACAGAGTGAGACCCTGTGAGTGAGACAGAGAGGGAAAAAGAGAGAGAGAGGGAGAAAGAGAGAGAGGGGGGCGGGGAGAAAACACCAGCCAGGGAACATGTGCAAAAGTGTGGAGGTGTGAAAAATGTATGTTATCTTCAGGGACTAGCAATTAATCCAGTTTTACTGCAGCATAGGATTCATTAGTAGGAGTAAAGGGAAACTATAGGCGGTGAGGCTCAAATAGTGGGCTAAGATAGATTTCTGGAGGGCCTGAGTAACATAATAAGGACTTTAATCTTTTCCTTAAGTAGTAGGGAGGCTTAGAAAGTTGTTTTGGTTTTAGGAGATTTTTTTGAGAGGGTCCCACTCTGTTGCCCAGACTGGAGTGCAGTGGCACAATCTCAGCTCACTGCAACTTCGACCTTTCAGGCTCAAGCCGTCCTTAGCCTCCAGGTAGCTGGGACTACAGGTGTGCCTCACTACACCCAACTAATTTTTGTATTTTTTGTAAAGACAGTCTCACTATGTTGCCCAGGCTGGTCTCGAACTCCTGGGCTCAAGCGATCCACCCACCTCAGCCTCCCAAAGTAAGAAAGTTTTTAAAGAGGAAAGTGACAATATGATTAGATTTCTATTTTTCTGTTTTACTTTAGTTTTGTAGAGATAGGGGTCTCACTGTGTTGCCCAAGCTGGTCTTGAACTCTAGGCTTCAAGTGATGCTCCCACCTGGGCCTTCCCAAAGTGCTGGGATTACAGGCATGAGGTACCATGCTTGGCCTAGATTTGTATTTTTAAAAGAGAATTTTAGTAGCAATTTAGAAAGATTAGAGCAGGCAAACACCAAAAGAAGTGAGAGCAGTTTGAAGGTTGTTTGCTCACTCCTAGTGAGCAGTTTTTTTTTTAATTTAAGAAATACATGTTTTCGATTCTGTGTGAATATTCTAATTGAATATATAATTTTATAGTTCCCATAATTTGATAGACTTTTGTTGTTACATCTTCCCTCTGTGTTTCAGTAAACCAGAATATAAGGCCATAAAGAATTATCTTTTGTAAACAGATTTATCTAGAAACCAGTCTATAATTTCCTTAATGATTGTCTAGTTTCTTCAGCAGCTTACTATATTTTGGTTTTGTAGGTTGGCCTGGCAGTGGTCAATGGACAGCTCATGGCAGTAGGAGGTTTTGATGGCACAACATACTTGAAGACCATAGAAGTTTTTGATCCTGATGCCAATACATGGAGGTAACTTTTAAGCTGTGTAGCAAATCACCTTACTACTGACTTGGAAATCATGGGCTTGAGATAGCCCATGACCATCAGAACTGGGATGGTCAGTACACTGGAGTACTTTGAAGAGGGCTGAAGTTACACATATTTATGGCTCATTTTGACTTGATTGCTCTAAAGTGGCTGATATATTACAAAATTCTCCTTTTCAGTAACTGTCCAGTTTTATCATTAGAGATGGGTAAAATAGGGGAAAAAATATCCTTCCTGGTCTGATCATGTTCAGCTGAGGAAACAAAAGCACTGAGAAATAAAATGACTTGCCTAAGTGACTTAGTGACAGAGTTAGAATTAGAACCTAGGTCTGGCTCCAAATCTGTCCATGCCATTTTTTGGTGTTCTTGTGGGAAATCTATGCTTAGGAAAAACAAATTGCAATTACTTTTGAAAAATTAATGTTTAAAAAAAGAATATTTCATTTTTAAACCCATTTTAACTTTTAGGGAGGAGGCTACATCTTATTTAAGAGAGCTTAACTTAAACTTCATTTCTAGGTTTAATTTTACTTTGCTTTTAAATCCTCAATTGTCTAATAAAGCTTTCCTAAGTAGTTAAGTAGTTTTTATAATTTCACATAAATTAGGTGACTTTTGCACTTATTTTAAATATTCAAAACCTTTACAAACTTAGCAAAATTCTCTTAAACCTTTAAACTTAAAATAATTAAGTCTAAATCTTTACTCAATCATATTTTATACTGGAATCACAAGAGTAATCTTATAGATGCTCTAAAAAGCCAAATTCTCTTAAACCCTATAAGAACTTAAAATGCCAAACATATAGTTGATTCTCAAACTTTAAAAATAACGGTACTATGGGTTTGATGTATGGCATATCTGTACTTAATTCTAAATACTAGTCTTCTAAGAAAACAGTTTTGCCTTCTAAGCAATTTGGGATTTCCTTCTCAATAAAATGGGCTTACTTGCCTAAGCAAGTTTAGGGTTACCGTCTCAGTGGCTAAGGTTGCACATCAACCAGAAATATCAGGCTGGACATGTGAGCTGAGGAGCAGACATTCTGGGAAATTTTTCTTATGACCATGAAGGATAAGCTGAGCTCGTTTTACTGTTACTGTTCTAAAAGAGGCAGTCTTGTAGTCCATTCTTACTGTGTTCTAATACATTTCCTAATTTTAAGCCTGCAACTATCCACCTGGGTTTTTTCATCACCCTATTAGATTCAACTATAGTCTATCTCTAGGAAAGCCACAACCTTCACAGAGATTTAAGTGACATGCTTTGGATCCTCCATATGTCTCACAGCTCCATATGACTCAGTGGTCACAAACTAAAGTCAAGCTAATAACAGCATAGTACTTTTTGCTCCTACATCACATTTTTACAGTCCTGTTCATTAAGTAAAGATTTACTAATGGCCGGGCATGGTGGCTCATGCCTGTAATCTCAGCACTTTGGGAGACCAAGGTGGGCAGATCACCTGAGGTCAGGAGTTAGAGACCCCCTGACCAACATGGTGAAACCTCGTCTCTACTAAAAATACAAAAATTAGCCAGGCATGGGTGGTGGGCACCTGTAATCCCAACTACTTGGGAGGCTGAGGCAGGAGAATCGCTTGAACCTGGGGGGCAGAGGTTGCAGTGAGTGGAGACTGGGCCATTGCACTGCAGCCTAGGTGACAGAGTGAGACTCCATCTCAAAAAAAAAAAAAAAAAAAAAAAAAAAAAAAAAAATTTACTAAGTGCTCTGAGCCCTGGGGATACAAAACTAAACAACAACAACAAAAAATTCCTGCTGAGCGCATGCCTGTAATCCCAGCTACTAAGGAGGCTGAGGCACGAGAATCTCTTGAACCCAGGAGGTGGAGGTTGCAGTGAGCTGAGATCACACCAGTGTACTCTAGTCTGAGTGGCAGAGCAAGGCTCCGTCTAAAAAAAAAATTTCTTGCCCTGCTGGAGCTAACCAATTGTATTGAGGGAGACTAACAGTACCATACCAGTAGATGGAAGTGCTATGGCAAATATCAAAGCAGGGGAGGAGGCTAGGGAGTACAGGGAGGGGAATCTGTTTTTAAAGGTGGCCAGGGAAGGCCTCATTGGAAAGGTAACATTTTAGCAAAACCTAATAACGGTAAAGGATAGGTAATGGCAGCTTTGGGCCTCTCACTGGCAGGATATTTTCTTCCATATACAGCTTTCTATTTTTACTAAGAATTTTGAGTAAGCATAATTTCTGAAGACAGCCAAATTTACTGTCACTTAATCACTATAATCTTATCTGAGGACTTGTTTCTTAGTAACTGTCACTAAATAGAATTAGTAATAGATGACAAAGTAATAGTCATGAAATTCTTGAGGATCATCTGTTGAAAGATTAATAACTAAATATTTGCAGTTACATATCCCAGACTTAAAAACCAACTCTACCTCATAGCTGATAAGGGTCTAGTATTCTTCTCCATGGAAGGTCCTTAATTTTGAAGATGATCTTGTCACAAACTAGGTGCGACTTTACTCAAATCCAGTTTTGTTCTATAAAAGACTTGAGGAGGCTTACAGAGTACATATAAGACAAAGGGATAAAAATAAATATTTAAAGAATTTTAGGCAAAGGGAAAACATAGGTGGGACAATAATATAGCCAGGGGCAAAATTACAAAAATGTAGAATATATAATTCTGTGTAATTGTTAGAAGTCAGTGAGGTATAAAGTTGTAAAGTTCTGATGCAAAAAGTGAATATGCTCTCTTATTCTTCACACAGCCTCCTATGAGAGCATGTCAATCTCTGAAACAGTCCTGCTACTCAACAGTGCTCAACTGCAGCTTCTAATTTTTAGAATGAAGACAGTATTAGTGTGAAGCTGAAAATATTAGTTGTAATATAAAACATAGAAATGTGTTAATAACATCTTAGTTGTGGAAGAAATGGTGCTTTTTTTCCAGTTAGAAAATATGATTATGTTTCTCTCTTTGCAGGTTATATGGCGGGATGAATTACCGTCGGCTAGGGGGTGGTGTAGGAGTTATTAAAATGACACATTGTGAATCCCATATTTGGTGAACACAGAGAAGACAGAGTCTTGTACATATTCCTCTGTATTCTGGGGAGCTTTGACCTTGGAGCTTTGTACAGCTTGAGAAAACATTAGAACAAATTTTATTATTTGCCGGTGCCTCAACATATGGAAATACAAATGAAAGTAGTTCACCTGCAAGATGCACAATAATTTTCAACTCTGTGCAGAAGAATATTTATTTTTGGTTTTAATTTATCATGGTTTTTTGTTGTTTTCGTTTTGAACTTATCCTTCCTCCCACAAAAAAAGAAAAGAAGAAAAAAATTCCAAGCAGCAAAACTTACTTTGTTTATAAGGTATTGATTTAGGTTTGAAAATACTATTTAATAAGGGCATAAGGGCTATATATGATTTGGCTGTTATTTCTAGACACTCCATCCACGTGATTCCACTAACAAGGATTACCAGGAATTAAGGTAGGTATGCAAAATGTATTAGCTAGCCATTATTCTTGCACTAACCACCAGAACACTTGAAAATCTAAAAAAAAAAAAAAACAAAAAAAAAAGAAAAGGCAACATCTCATTTTAAATAGTACAATTCAGAAGGGATACTAAATCAATAAAAACCAGGACTCAGACACTACAGTTTTCATCAGTGTAATTTTATGTCGTTTCTATATGAATTTGTTTATTTAGTCTTTTTTTCATAATATTCTCATAGAGTTTCTGCTAGATCTAGAGCTCTGCTCAGTGCCTCTTATAAAAACTATATATGTCTCATATGCTGTCTTGAGAATCCAAGAGAATCACATGCAGCTCTGCAACAGTTTTTGCTCAAAAATGTTACCAACTAAAGCAACTGTTCTTCCTGTTTCCTATTGCTACCAAGGACCAGCAGGGAGAAATATCTTCTCCCAGCAGTGAATTCTGTTATGCAATTTATTCTTGATGCTCAGGCCTAGTTAAGCTGAGGCTTACCTTTAATAACAGCCTCCAAGGGAATGAATTATTCAGTTCATGTAATAGCACACATTAAAGAGAATAAAATCAATTGAGGCATTTTATTAATATCTTGGTTCTTTTATACAAACAATGTATCATTATCTTCGTTCTATAAGACCATTGTTACTACTTCTCTCAAATTGCACTTTCTGGTAAAAAGTTAAAAATTTTTAGGAAAAAACATAATTTCAATGGTTAAAGTTTTTTTTCCTCATTGTATTCATAGACAAATTTTTTTCAATATATTTTGCAAGAAAAATCTTTGAATAAGACTAACTGCATTTAAAAGGAATAACCTCCTTTCCCCAACTACAAAGATGTTTGGCAACTTTGTGTTTACATTTAAAGATCATTTGCACCTTTTTCAAGGAAAAAAAAAGTATTGAGTAAACAATTGTTTACATGTATCATTTATGCTTTTTTCTAGCATGTATAACTTTTTTAAATAAAGGTAGTATTTACCATTAAAAAATTTTTAGCTAATGCTTTTTATCCTTGTACTTTTGTTATTTAATTTGGAATTTCTGTTTCTATATAATTTATTTTACCTGTATGTAAACTTACAAGTGCTTTCAACTTGAAGGAATAAAAGGATTGCCAGCTAGAATTAATAGGAATTTTCATTATCTATTTTTATATGTTATATTACCTAACCTATAAACTTATTTTCTAGGTAGAACTTAGAATCATACAATTTTGAGCTGGAAGGACTCTTTAACAATCATCTAGTCCAAACCTATTTATTACACTGATCCAAGTCTGAAAACCACAGAAGTCTGCCTAAGAATAAATAGTTAATGACAGAACCAACATTAGAAGTCAGTTTCCTCAATTCCCAGTCCATTCCTCCTTCTATGCCACACTGCCACTGCAGGTTTACCTGAAACTAAATATAATAAAAGACCTTAGGTATTTTAACTAAGTCTGGTATGAACATGTAAAAAGTATAAAAACTTTTATGAGATCCTTACTGTAGTACATCATTAACAATCAGCCTTCAAGGCAAAACCATGTATTTCCCAAGACTCTACTATTTCATACATCTGAGGCAAAAGAGAGTGATAATAGCAAGAACAAAACTAGGGATTAGACTCTCCATTAGTCAGGAAGTCCCCAGTGAGAGCAATTCATACGGCACTGATTCAAGAGTAGAGACCCAGGAATTAAGGGCACTGGCCAGAGTCTTCATTGGAGACTGTTAGGGGTTTGTTTTCCCCCTCCAGTGAAGGCACTCCACTTTTATTATTGATTGAAATGTATTCTGTTAAAGTGTTGCTGTAAAATAGAATGTTTATTAATTTGTGTGCATAGTTTTTTCCACAACTCAAGTTTGGAATAGGGGTTGGGTTGGCAGTCATTTTCATTTCATAAGTAAGTCTACTGAAGCTTAGAAAAATTGAAATGACATGGTAGGAGCTGAACCTTAAATCTGTAGCCCCTGATTGTAAATCCTTTGTGCTCTATACACATTCCCACATTCCTGTTTTTGATTGCTTCCCAGTTCTCTTCCATAATGTTTTACCTCTAGATACTCACACTGCAGATAATACTTCTTGACTACTGTGTAAAAGGGGTCTTTCCCGTACAAGATGTGAGGGAGTAGGGGACGAACCTTTCAAACTTTGTGTTAACTGGGGAAACAGATGGGCAAAGAAAAAATGCAAGAAGGAAAGAAATATAGAAGAGGAGAGAAAGCAGCAGCAGGAGGCAAAAATGACCCACTAAACCTGAGTGTGTCTGCCCAATTGTGAGAAATGGCTCTGTAAATTGCTTTGAGGGCCCTGCTGGAAGTGACGGGAAAGAATGGTCCCAAGAAATGACAAAACTCTTCAACTAAGTTGTCTTACATGTCCTTTATACTGATCTTTCAGTTATTTAGCTGTGTAAGGTTAGGAACTTAGATTATTTTAAATGTAAAAAAGAAAGGATGGTTATTCACTGAACTATCATAAAATATTTGGGGTTATTCCAGTAACAGTAACCTACTAATATCCCTATCCTAGAAAGACTGTTTAAGCCCGAATTCCTAGGAAAAGAGGACACATATCTTCAGTGTGAATTTAGATCAGTGAACCCTTGAACTTCTCCTAAACAGGAACAGCCCCTGCTTTCAAAAAGCTTAGTTTTAAGCCTTGGTTTCATCAAGCTTCTCGATCAGTGGTTCTCAAAGTATGGTCTGTGGACCCCTGAGGTCTCCCATATCTTTCTTTTTCTTCCTCTTGTTGCCCAGGCTGGAGTGCAATGTTGCAATCTCGGCTCACTGCAACCTCTGCCTCCCAGATTCAAGCGATTCTCCTGCCTCAGCCTCCTGAGTAGCTGGGATTACAGGCATGTGCCACCAGGCCCAGCTAATTTTTTTGTATTTTTAGTAGAGACGGGGTTTTGCCATGTTGTTCAGGCTGGTCTCAAACTCCTGACCTCTGGTGATCTGCCCCCGTTGGCCTACCAAAGTGCTGGGATTACAGGCGTGAGCCGCTGCACCCAACCAAGTCCCCAATATCTTTCAAAGTATCCATGAGTCGAAACTTTTTTTTTTTTTTTTTTGAGAGGGAGTCTCGCTCTGTCGCCCAGGCTGGAGTGCAGTGGCTCAATCTCAGCTCACTGCAAGCTCTGCCTCCCAGGTTCACGCCATTCTCCTGCCTCAGCCTCCTGAGCAGCTGGTGCCCGCCACCATGCCAGACTAACTTTTTTATATTTTTAGTAGAGATGGGGTTTCACCGTGTTGGCCAGGATGGGCTCGATCTCCTGACCTCTTGATCCGCCCACCTCAGCCTCCCAAAGTGCTGGGATTACAGGAATGAGCCACGGCGCCCGGCTGAAACTATTTTCTTAGTAAAACTAAGTTTTCTGCCTTTTTTACTGTAGTGGCATTTGTGTTAATGGTGCAAAAGCTATGGTGGGTAAAACTGCTGGTGTCTTAGCATAAATCAAGGCATAAATCAAAGCATAAATCAAACTGTACAACTAGACATAGTATTCACCACCATAGACTTGTAGGACCTTTTTTTTTTTTTTTTTTAACATGTTTTTGTTTGAGACAGAGTCACGCTCTGTCACCCAGGCTGGAGTGTAGTGGTGAGATCTCTGCTCACTGCAGCCTCCACCTCCTGGGTTCAGGCAATTTTCCAACCTCAGCCTCCCAAGTAGCTGGGAATACAGGCGCCCACTAGCACCCCTGGCTAATTTTTTTATTTATTTTTCGTAGAGACAAGGTTTCGCCATGCTGGCCATGCTGGTCTCGAACTCATAACCTCAAGCGATCCGCCCACCTCAGCCTCCCAAAGTGCTGGGATTACAGGCATGAGCCACTGTGCGTGGCCTGGATTTTTAAAAATTTGCTTAAAAATGTCCTTGATGAAGCAACAAAAATTACTAATGTACTAAATCTCAACTTGTGGACATACATCTTTTTTCAATATTTTATGACAAAATGGGAAGTATGTATAAAACACTGCTGCGAACCAAAATACAGTGGTTGTCCCAAGAAAATCTTTTGAGATTGTTTTAAGATGCAAGCTGAACTACCTACTTTTTGAAAGAATGACACACAAATTGAGGTCATTTAGACTTGGGTGTTGAGCAGGCATTTTCTCTCAAATGAACAAAGTGAGGCTATCATTTCAAGGAACACAACTGACAGTACTTATTGTCAACCATATTCAAGAGAAAAATTACAATTTTGAGAAGGCTATGTCAACTATAAACTTGACAGCTACTTAAAAACTTTTCTGATGAAACTGGTGATGACATCGATGAATGCCTTTTTAATTGTATAGTGAAGCGTGTCAACATGTGGAAGATCTGTATAACTCATGGAATCAGTTTTTCTAAATGATTAATGCACAGGTTAAGATGTATCCAAAGCACAAGACAGACCAACAGATCTTATGGGAACAATATGAAAGGTCTATTGATATGGTTTTAGATTTCAGCAGTCACTTGTCAAGTTTTAATGTAATATCAAGAGTATCCATAATTATCAGAAAAGCTCTTAAAATCCTCCTCCCCCTTCCAATTTCATATTTGTGTAAGCCATATTTTCTTGACATACTTCAACCAAAATAACATTGCAAAAGATTGAATGCAGAAGCAGGTAAGAACTCAATTGAGTTCTAATAAGCCAGAAATTGAAGAGTCATACAAAAATGTAAAAGAAAACATCACTAATTTTTTTGCTTTTGAAATAAAAAAAATTGTTTTAAAAATGATAGCCTGGGCCAGGCATGGTGGCTGATGACTGTAATCCCAGCACCTTTGAAGGCCCAGGCGGCAGATACACTTAAGATCAGGAGTTTGAGACCAGCCAGGCAAAAATGGCAAAACCCTGTCTCTACTAAATATACAAAAATTAGCTGCGCATGGTGCTACATGCCTGTAATCTCAGCTCCTTGGGAGGCTGAGGCAGGAGAATCCCTCGAACCTGAGACACAGAGGCTGCAGTGGGCCGAAATCATGCCACTGCACTGCAACCTGGGTGACAGAGTAAGATTTTCTCTCAAAAAAAAAAAAAAAAAAAAAGGCATGTAAATAGGTTTATTTTTGATGCACTATTTTTTTTTAATTTCTCTATTTTAATTTCTAATATGGTAAATCACTAGATATAATGCATGTAAACAGAAGCTCTTTGTGTCCTCAAGTTTTTGAGGCTTTAAAGGGATCTCAAGGCAAAAATGTTTGAGAACTGCTGCTCTAAATCTTCCAGTTTACAGGAAATACAAAGGAACAGAGGAATGTGTTAACTTCATAGCAATTCAATGAGCAAAGTTCAAAAGTGCAAAACTTTACAAGACAAATAACTTCGCTTCTCCAAAAATTGAACTGCAAGAAAAGAAAGTGGAGAGGGAGAAACTGACAGAGTAAAAGGAATTTAAGACTCATATCATCAGCCTAGAGCGGTGGCTCATACCTATTAATAAAATCCCCCAGCACTTTGAGAGGGCAAGGTGGGAGAATCGATTTAACCCAGGAATTCAAGACCAATTTAGGCAAATAAGAGAGACCGTCTTTACAAAAAAATACATATATATATAATTTTTATATAATTTTATGTATTATATATAATTTTTATATATTTATTTATATATACATTTATATTAGCTGTGTGTGTTGGCACATGCCTCTGGTCCCAGATACTTGGGAGATTGAGGTGGGAGGATTACTTGGGCCAGGGAGGTCCAGGCTGCAGTGAGCCATGATCACACCACTGCACTACAGCCTCCTTGACAGAGCAAGGCGCTGTCTCAAAAAACGTCAACCAGATATGAGGGCGATCTGACTGTGACATCTGTCACTCTATTGATCGCCAGGGTTGATTCGGCTGATCTGGCTAGCTAGGCAGGGTCCCCTTCCTCCCTCACCACTCCATGTGCTTCCCTCTTGAAGCTGTGCACTCGGTGAAAGAGGATGCCATCTTCAGTCAAGGGTATACAAGTAGCTGCACTTCCCTGCTAGAACCTCCAAACAAGCTCTCAAGGTCCATTTGTAAAAGAACGTAGGGTAGTCAAGCTTCCAAGACTCCGGACACATCTGAATGAGTTGCTGCATGTGGCAGTCTGCCTTTCTTTAAAAACAAACAAACAAAACCACCAAACTTCAAGTAATAAGGCA